CCCCCCAGTGCACAAATTTTTGTGCACCGGGCCTCTAGTATATATATAAAAGGCTAATATGCAAAGTGTCCCCTCAGGAGTTCGACCAGAGACCGGGAGTTCGTCTGCTCATTATGATATGCGCTGAACACCAGGAGGCGGCGCAGAACGAAGGAAGGCCCCAGCTGGCAGCCGGCAGCCAGAGAAGGAAGGCCCCAGCCAGCAGCCAGAAGGCCCCGATCAGCCCTGATCGCTGGCCAGGCCTAGGGACCCTACCCATGTATGAATTTCGTGCACCAGGCCTCTAGTTTCATATAAAGAATCAGAATGTACGATTACCACAGAGTGTTGGTATGAAAATATTATATAAAAATATGTTCTGCTATGATCAGATCAACCTATAATTATCTAAGAAAAGCTAATATATTATTTCCATTAATTAACTGTCATTACCCAGCATTTGTTCTAACAGGTTTGACATTAAAAAAAACATAACAAGTCTGAAAAACCTATAAAGTTATTCTACCATTCTTAGTGAAACTATCATTTTAGCTTTTTGTTTAAAAATACAAACCATGCCCTGATTGGTTTGGCTCAGTGGATAGAGCATCGGCCTGCAGACTGAAGGGTCCCAGGTTTGTTTCTGGTCAAGGGCATGTACCTTGGTTGCAGGCACATCCCCAGTAGGGGGTGTGCAGGAGGCAGCTGATTGATGTTTCTCTCTCATCGATGTTTCTAACTCTCTATCCCTCTCCCTTCCTCTCTGTAAAAAATCAATAAAATATATTTTAAAAAAAAAATACAAACCATGCTCAGCTGGTGTGGTTCAGTGGTTGAGCATCAACCTATGAACCAGGTCATGATTTGATTCTGGTCAGGGCATATGCCCAGGCTGCGGGCTCAATCCCCAGCCGGAGGCATGCAGGAGGCAGCTGACCAATGATTCTCTCTCATCATTGATGTTTCTCTCTCTCTCTCTCTCTCTCTCTCTCTCTCTCCCTCCCTCCCTCCCTCCCTCCTTCTCTGAAATCAATAAAAATATGTTTTAAAAATCAAACAGCCCTTGACGGTTTGGCTCAGTGGATAGAGTGTTGGCCTGCGGACTGAAGGGTCCAGGGTTTGATTCTGGTCAAGGGCACATACCTCAGTTGCAGGCTTCCGGCCCTGGTCATGGGTGTGCAGGAGGCAACCAATCGATGTTTCTCTCTCACATCAGTGTTTCTCTCTGTCTCTCCCTCTCCTTTCCACTCTCTCTAAAAATCAATAGAAAAAATATCCTCGGGTGAGGATTAAAAAAACACACAAAACTGTAAGTCAACAATGTATAACCTTAGAACACTAAAAACACTGACTTAAAGAGGCATATGAAATACAGAAATGTTGAGTAACACATAAATCTTTATCAAGAATGTACACATAACTAAAATACTATAATCACAAAGGAAAAATAGAAAATAATTGCAAATTTTTTCCTAGCTTTAAAGGTTACAAAGTTAAGAAACAAAAGAATTCAAGTATGTGGGGGTAGGGAAGGCCGGGGAAATGTCAAGGGGGGAAAAAAAGGAGACATATGTAATACTCTTTGTAATACTTTAAGCAATAAAACAAAATTTAAAAAAAAAGAATTCAAGTATGGTGAAGACAAAAGAATTCAAGTATGGTGAAAAAACAAGCCAAGCATTAAGGAAAGAGTTACGAAACCTTACAGGATAAGATTAGCAAAATACTAAAAGTTAAGGTTTATTAGGATATATTCTAATATAAAATAGTATTTGAATACTGCAGTTTTAATATAAAAGCATCCCCAATACACGAAGCTCTCTGCATTCATAGCATTTGAATTATTTCTAAATGTTTTCCATTATTTGAATCTATCCTCAAAGAATTTTGTGAGAATTAAGGAGCTTCAAGCAACCCCACACAACCAAGGGAAAACCAGGCCCACGGCTGGCTAGCGGTAGAAGTGGGAGGAAAGCCAAGGACTCCTGACACTAAGCTCCTCACTGCCTCTCAGTTTAACTTCAGAAAGCTGCCTGGTATTTTTCTAAATCCACGTAAAAATAAAGGACGATGCTATCAGGGATTTTTGTATTTTATCTGACAAAGAATATCCTCTACCTTGGTAGCACTAAGTAAGTTACAATAAATTTTTAGTATAAATTTTTGTTTTGAAATATATATAGTATATACACCTATCCAAAAGAATTTACTTACTTAGAATGTTGAAGTTTATCTTCTATTAATGGAAGAACAGCTGGAATCATTTCTTGAGGGAAAATCTGGCTAACGATAGTGAGTGCCATACATACTTCCACCAGGTTAGTGCTCTGCAAGTCCTGACACAATCATTAAGCAAAGAAAACATCAGTGCAAAGTTTGAAACTAGGTATAGTGAGAGCAACATTGCAATGGCCCCACTTACTTAATAGTTTTCTACTAACTTTATAATTAAGTTGTACATTTACCTCATCTTTTATAGGAATATCTCTGTTTCATTTGCTTTAACAGTCAATAAATAAACACAGCCAAAAAGCAATTGATCCAAAAGGAAACTGTATTTCTGTTCTGACACTGGCCCAAGTAGTTTCCTTTAGAACAGCTTTTAAAACTTTTCTAAACTAATAGCAAACCAACTTTATGAATTGTCCTTGTTAAACAATGAGTGAAAGTTCAAAAGGAAGTAATTCTCAAATATTCTATATAATAAAACTCTAATATGCAAATGGACTGAACGGCAGAATGACCAATCGCTATGACATGCACTGACCACCAGGGGGCAGACGTTCAACGCAGGAGCTTCCCCCTGGTGGTCAGTGCACTCCCAGAGCGGGAGCACCACTCAGACAGAAGCTGAGCTCATGGCTGGCGAGCCCAGCGGCAGTAACAGGAGCCTCTCCCACCTCTACTGCAGGTAGGCAGTAAGGAGCAAGGGGTCCCGGACTGCGAGAGCACCAGACTGAGAGAGGGATGTCTGACTGCTGGCTTAGGCCCGATCCCCAGGGAGACCAGGCTTAAGCCAGCAGGCGGACATCCCCTGAGGGGTCCCAGACCACAAGAGGGTGCAGGCCAGGCTGAGGGACCCCCCCCCCCGCCCCCAGTGCACAATTTCATGTACCAGGCCTCTACTATACAATAAAAGGCATGAATTCATACATACTTAGATATGCACAAATTTATTAATCATTCTAACAGAAAATGAAAAACTGTTTTTAAAAGTTTGGAAAAATTTAAGCTACTAGTAATCTTAATAGAGTATAAGACTTAAAATTCAGAAAGTACTACACACACACAGACCCACACATCAAAAGACTGACACAAAGTAAACATGAAAATACTCAACAATTCAATTATACTTCATTACCAATTTTGATTAAAAATTTAACAGGAGCCCTAGCCAGTTTGGCTCAGTGGATAGAAGGATCCTGGGTTCAATTCGGGTCAAGGACAAATGCCCAGGTTGCAGGTTCGATCCCCAGTAGGTGGCATGCAGGAGGCAGCCTATCAATGATTCTCTCTCATCATTGATGTTTCTATCTCTCTCGCCCTCTCCCTCCCTCTCTGAAATCAATAAAAATATATTTTCAAAGAAATAAGTTTTAAAAAATTTAACAGGAAAAAATATTGTGAGTATGGATTAAATTGTGTTTTTATTATCTGTACATTCCAGTTCCAATTATATTCTACTAGAGGCCCGGTGCATGGATTCATGCACCAGTGGGGTCCCTCAGCCTGGCCTGTGGGGATTGGGCCGAAACCAGCTCGCCAATATTCCCTGAGGAGTCCTGGATTGCGAGAGGGTGCAGGCCAGGCCAACGGACTCCACCGGTACACGATCGGGGCAGGAGAGGGACTCCAGGTGGGCTCCAGGGCATGTCAGTCCGAATCGCCCAGTCCCAATGGCTGAACCCAGCAGCAAGCTAACCTACCAGTTGGATCTTCTGTCCCCTGGTGGTCAGTGCACATCACAGCGACTGGTTGAACAGTCGAATGAACGGTTAGACACTTAGCATATATTAGGCTTTTATTATATAGGGTTACTTTTAGAATTTAAAATAATTATTCAGTTTACATCTATATCTCTTTAGAACATATCCCAGAGAAAGAGACAACAACATGGAAATATCCAGAACTAAGAGTCTGGAGATCTGAGTTATAAGTCTAACAATAACAGCAGCAGTAGCTATTACTACTTTCATCGTGTTTCGTACAACCTTCACAACTTGGTTAAGTTCTATTATTATCCCCATTTTGCAGATACAGACACTGATCTAAAAGATCTTTGTAAAATAAATAAATAAATAAATAATAAAAGGATTTTTCTACGCCCATTCTGTAAACCTACCTTCTTCCAAAAATCTCTAATTCAATATGACTGAGGAAAAATGTCAGGTGCCTGCAGAAATAATTTCTGACTTCATAATAACCAACATACAATACAGTACCTTTACAACTGTATTCACAAGGAGAAGCAACAGTTCATGACTTTCATGTAGAAATAAAGACACTGCCAAATAACCTATAAAATTTGAAGGGAAAGGTCTCATCACAATGTTTCCCAAGAATTTAAACAAAGCAATCATATATTCCAAAATTAAGTGTCAAAGATACCAGTTGTAGGTAAATATGAAAACAAATTGTAAAATATGAAGATCAAAACCTCTAGTAAGGAAGATTTCAAGAGTTCTTCATCCTGAAATATTCCAGAATTACATATTTCATAGGATATACCTAAAGTGGAAAAGAGACTGTGTGTACCAACTTAAAGTCATGTAGACATTAGAAATACAAGCTATGTTTTGTGCATATCTCTACACAATCTATCAAAACATTTTCTGTCCTGTAGCCAAACACAGAGTTACTCAAAAACTAATAGCTACTAGAGTTAAGTGTGTTACTGGCTATCTGTGTTGTTGAATGAGCTACCACCTAATATCAAGCCATATGATGTAAATCATACTAAGCCATAAACAATACCTTATTTCCTCAATTTGAAGACATACTAGTCACTCTTCATACTGGAACATTTGTTAGACAGTTACTATGGGTCAACTACATTACAAGCCTCACCTCATTTAATCCTCACAACTCTATGAGATAGATATTATTACCCCTGATATAATGATGAAGCCCCAAAATGGTAGTTGCCCAAGATCTATACCTATTACAAGGTAGAGCCAGGGCTCAAACCTAGCCAGGAAGAGTTAGTTCATGTTTTTAACCCCTATGTTGTTCTTTCTCTCCACATAGTCTACTGTGAGGCCCTATCCCCTGAATCCTGTCGTCATTGTTTTTCATTCTTCCCAACTCTTTTCAGCCCTTTCATTAGGGTTTCTATTGTTAAGTATACCCATCATTACCCAGCGCCTACACTATATGTGTGTGTTTGGGAACATGGGAAAAATATGGAAAGTTCCTATTCTGAGTCCCTTGAGATGTTGCTTTCAGGTATATCCTCTGCTTGACTGAAATAAATTTATAAAAATTCTCTACAAGTTTGGATGTTTTTCTGTTGACACTATCATCAGAGACTGGGAGTTGATGCCAAATGGATCTGTACAGAAACCTATTAAAAGAAGCTCTGGAGAGGATTAAAAATGGCGGCGGAATAAGTGCATGCTGCACGGGCAGGCTCCCAGGAACAAACTTGAATTACAACTAAAATACAGAAAAACTTTCTGAATAATCAATGGGAGACTCGCTGGAGAGAACCCTGATACCCAAGGACCAAAAGTGGAGACCGAATAGAGACTGGTAGCAGGGGCAGAGGCACGAAAGGGCTGTCTGGGCACCCACAGACAGCAACTGAAGTTCCAGAGAGATATCTCAGCTGTGGAGAGTTGCCACTGAGAACTCTGGGGTCTAATCCCCAAGCTGAGCCCTCCCCCAACCCCCAGCAGAGAGCACCAGAACTGAGAAGGGGACCCACATAATTTCATGGATTGGTAGAATCAACATCATTAAACTGTCCATACTATCCAAGGCAATCTAGATTCAATGCAATCCCCATTAAAATACCAAGGGCATATTTCACAGAGCTAGAACAAATACTCCAAAAATTTATATGAAATCAAAAAAGGCCCTGAATAGCTGCAGCAATCTTGAAAAAGAAAAACAAAGTTGGAGGAATTACAATACCATATTTCAAGCTATACTACAAAGCCACCGTAAACAAAACAGCCTGGTACTGACACAAGAACAGGCACATAGATCAATGGAAGAAAACAGAGAACTCAGGAAATCGACACAAGCCATTACACTCAATTAATATTTGAGAAAGGAGGCAAAAGCATACAATAGAGTCAAGATAGTCTCTTCAATAAACAGTGGTGAGAAAATTGAACAGATACATGCAAAAAAAATGAAATAGACCACCAACTTACACCATACACAAGAACAAACTCAAAATGGATAAAAGACTTAAATTTAAGTCGTGAAACCATAAAAATCCTAGAGGAAACCATAGGCAGCAAAATCTCAGACATCTCTCATAGCAATATGTTTATGGATACATCTCCTAAGGCAAAGGAAACTAAGGAGAAAATAAACAAATGGGACTACATCAAAATAAAAAGCTTCTGTACAGCAAAAGAAACCATCAACAGAATGAAAAGGGAGCCCACTGTATGGGATAACATATTTGGCAATGATACATCTGAAAAGGGTTAATATCCAAAATATATAAGGAACTTACACAACTTAACAAAAGGAAGACAAACAATCCAATTTAAAAATGGGCAAAGGACCTAAATAAACACTTCTCTAAAGAGGACATACAGAAGGCCAAGAGACATGTGAAAAAATGCTCAAAGTCACTGATCATCAGAGAGATGCAAATTAAAACAATAAGGTATCACCTCACACCTGTCAGAATAGCTACCATCAACAAATCAACCAATGACAAGTGCCGGCGAGGATGTGGAGAAAAGGGAACCTTAGTATACTGCTGGTGGGAATGCAGACTGGTACAACTGTTAGGTCTGATCAAATAATTGAATCGATGCCCCCTCCCCTGGGAACTGACCTTTAGGCCACTTCACAATGGACATTTCACTTGCTTAGACCACATTCCACTTGCTAAGACCATTATCTCTCCCCTCCAGAGTTTTCCAGAATCCAGACCTGCACAGAGAATTCTCCACCCAGAAAAAGCCAGCCTAGAGTCCTTTAAAAACCTCTGGGTCTCAGCCCATTTGGTATCCAGATGACCTAATCTATACTAATAAAAGGGTAATATGATAATTAGACCAGACATCTTCCAGACGTCTTTCCGGACAAAGCTGGCGGGGGCAGACAGAGATGGTTAGGGGTGATCAGGCCGGCAGGGGAGAGCAATTAGGGGTAGTCAGGTCAGCAGCAGAGGGCAGTTAGGGGCGATCAGGCCAGCGGGGGAGGACAGTTAGGGGCAATCAGGCCGGCGGGGGGCAAACAGTTAGGGGCGAGATCAGGCCGGCATGGGGGAGCAAGCAAGTTAGGGGATGATCAGGCCAGCGGGGGGAAGCAGTTAGGGTGCAATCGGGCCAGCAGGGGGGAGAGGTTAGGGGGCAATTAAGCCGGCAAGGAAGCAGTTACGGGGCAATCAAGCCGGCAGGGGAGCAGTTAGGAGCCAGTGGTCCCAGATTGCGAGAGGGCAGGATCGGGCCTAATCTGGCAGTCGAACATCCCCCAAGGGGTCCCGGATTGGAGAGGGTGCAGGCCAGGCTGAGGGATTCCCCCGCCCACATCGCCCATGCACAAATTTCATGCACCAGACCTCTAGTAAATTTATAATTCTTCACCCCTTTTGGCCTCGTGCGTTCCTCCTTTGGTGACCCTAACAGCAACCATTATGAAAAACAGTATGGAGTTTCCTCAAAAAATAAATATGGAACTGCCATTTGACCCAGTGATCCCACCTCTTGAATATATCCTAAGAAACCCGAAACACCAATCAGAAAGAATGTATGCACCCCTATGTTCATAGCAGCATAATTTACAATAGCTAAGATCTGGAAACAGCCCAAGTGTCCATCAGTAGATGAGTTGATAAAAAAGCTGTGGTACATTTATACCATGAAATACTATGCAGCAGTAAGAAAAGAAGAATCTCTTACCCTTTGAGACAGCATGGAGGGACTTGGAGAGTATCATGCTAAGTGAAATAAGTCAGTCAGAGAAAGACAAGTATCACATGATCTCACTCATATGTGAAATCTAAGTAACAAAATAAACTGATGAACGGAGTGGATCCAGAGACATGGAAGCATGGAACAGTGTGGAATCTCACAGGAAAGGCGGAGGAAGGTGGGAGGTAATCAACCAAAGATCTTGTATGCATATATGCATATAACCCATGGACACAAACCATAGGGTGCTAAAGGCCTGGGGCAGGCTGGATGGGGTCAATGGGGGGGGAAGGGGGACATATGTAATACTTTCAACAATAAAGATTTAAAAAAGAAAGAAAAAAAGTTCCTATTCTCACAACCAAGTAGTGTGACCCACTGAAACATCTTTACTGAAGGTCATAGGAAGTGCTGTTATTCGCACAATCATGAAAGGGAAAATAAAAACCTAACCAGGGCCAAGAAAGAGATGAGAAAAACTCTAGAGAACATTAAAGCGGAGATTAGGTCTTATCAGATTGCTAAGAACTTATCTGTTCAGCTAGGGTATCACCCACACCCAAGCCACCAAATTACAACAACAACAAACTAATCCAAAGACTATCTACATGAAATCTTAATTCTGTTACAAAAATTTCCTGTTTCACAATCAGGAAACGGTGGGGGGGGGGGGGGTTCTATGACAAAAGAATGAAAACGGTTTCACAAAAACAAAGAATGACAGCTATCATTATAGAGTATATTTGCTATGACTAAGAGTTAGGTATAGCATAAGAATATAGGCTTTGACTCAGAAATTTGGGTTCACATTCTGGCTCCACCATTCATTAGCTCTACGACCTTGGACAAGTGACCTGATCTTTCTGAGCCTCCATCTTCTCCTCTGTAAAATGAAATACTATCTCACAAGATAGAGCACCTAACATAATGCCTGACTTAATGGGTACTGAAATTCAGTTACTTAACATTATTAATATGAAAAATAAGAAGGCATTCTTCATTAGAGAAAACACCAAAAGTAGCATTAATAATCTCACGAGAGTTAATGAGACAATAGTACCAAAATGAAGACATGTAAAAGGTGGAGAGACACAGAGAGAGAAACAGCGATGTGAAAGAGACACATAGATTGGCTGTCTCCCCACATATACTCGACCAGGGCCAGGATCAAGCCTGCAACCAAGGTACATGCCCTTGACCAGAATTGAATCCAGGACCCTTCAATTCGTGGGCTGATGCTCTATCCACTGAGCAAAACTGGCTAGGGCCACATATTTTTAAAATAAGTGAAAATGAAAAGAATTACATGAAAGTCTAAAAAGCAGAATATAGAAAGAGTTGTACAAAATATCACCAACAACAACCATCCAATATTTATTGACTATCTAGTGTTGCCAAAATTTCCTGCCGTTAGAGATCTTAGAATTAGTTTGGGAACTAAAACATTAATATGTGAAAAGACAACACCATAAGATAACAGATGGTAGAAGCCACCTGAATGATGACAGAAGAGTTCAAACTTGATTTGGAATATGAAAAGAAGAGACAGGATGCCAAAGGACATTCTACTTGAGGGAAGAAAACAAGTTTAGAATTGGAAGCCTATTTTGGGTAGAGTGAGGTTCAACGAGTGGAGTATCGTATGCATATAGTCTGAGAATCTTTACCAAGACATCTCCCACCCCATCCCACCATATGACAGCACAAGTCACTATAACTTGTGAAGAATGCTGGTCCTGGACAATATGACACTATCAACTTCTTTCAATAAAGAACATGCTCTAGTCCTATATTATTCTAAAGTGCTTCCTTCTTGGGATTCTGATATAAAGCCAAATCTATATGAATAGAACTTTTTAAGTCCTTGAAAGAATTTTCCTTAATAGCCCTAAAAGTTGATTATAGAGACAAAAATTTTTTTAAATGCCTCTAGGCCTTGGCCAGGTAGCTCAGTTAGTAAGAGTATCGTCCCCATACGCCAAGGTTGTAACTTTGATTCCCATCAGGGCATATACAGTTAACCAATAAATGCATAAATAAGTGGAACACACAAAATGCTCTTTCTCTCTCCCTCCCTCCTCTCTCTCTCTCTCTCTCTCTCTCTCTCTCTCTCTCAAATCAATAAATAAAAATTTTTAATAAATAAATAAAAAGATGCCTCTAATCCTTATAGCTAACGTATGTGAAACTGAGAACAGGATATTTAAAATTATTCAAGTCAATTTCAGTTTTATTCTATAAAGAAACATTTCTGATCATTAAGTTCATGAGGTTAGACAGGCTTTTAAAAATTAGCTTTACTGAGGTTTATATAATTTGCATACAAGGAAGTTCACCCATTTTTGTTTAATGAGGTTTTTTAAAAATATATCTTTACTAGAGGCCTGATGCACAAAATGAAATTTGTGCAAGGGGCTCTGCCCTCACAGCCACGGCTTCCTCCAGAAGGTCGTCACCTGTCCAGTCTAATTAGCATATTACGCTTGTATTATTATAGATTGATTTCAGAGACAGGAAGGGAAAGGGAGAGAGAGATAGAAACATCAATGATGAGAGAGAATCATTGATCAGCTACCTCCTGCACGCCACCTGCTGGGGATCGAGTCTGCAACCCAGACATGTGCCCTGACCGGGAACTGAACCATGACCTCCCGGTTCATAGGTCGACATTCAACCACTGAGCCAGGTCTAGTTTAATGAGTTTTGACAAATATATATATAGTCATCCAACCACCATCATAAGAACAGGCAATTTTTAATCTCTATAACTCCAAAATGCTATGAATCAGGAAAACTGACTTTATTTATTGGCTCTGAGTTTTGAAGTACTATTACCTTTTTAGAGCTTTGGAAACTACAAGGCAATGTTCTAAAAACATACTATACTAGAGGCCCAGTGCACAAATTCATGCACAGGTGGGGTTCCTCAGCCTGGCCGGCGATCGGGGCTGATTGGGGCATCTCGCCCAGTCCTGATCGGGACCGACCGGGGCCAATCGGGAGGTTCTAATCGGGGCAATCGGGTCCGACCAGCTGGGGGGAGGGACCACAGCAGGTTGGCCAGCCGGAGGGAGGGGTCACAGGAGGTTGACCGGCAAGGGGGAGGGACTATGGGAGGTTGGCCGGCCAGGGGGAGGGACCGTGGGCGGTTGGCAGTGGGAACGCACTGACCACCAGGGGGCAGCTCCTGTGTTGAGTGTCTGCTCCCTGGTGGTCAGTGTGCGTCATAGCAACTGGTCGACCAGTTGGTCTTAACGGTCACTTAGGCTTTTATATATATAGATACCTGCCATCAATTGGAACTTTAAAGACAACATTAAGTCTTGAACACATACATACCTACTCTTTTTTCTAAAAGGTTTCCTTGTTGTGCCAACTTGATTGCATGTATGTAGCCAAAGGAAGCATCATATCCAAGCATTTCGCAATATATAAGTCTCACCATACATTCCTTCATCATTTTCTGAAAAGAAAAATATCCAGTAACTGTGTAAATAAATAGAATGTTTTATTTTTTTATTCTGTTGTAATCATTTAACAAGGAAATCCTTTAATCCTGGCACTGAAAAGAGTTTGTGTGTGTGTGTGTGTGATAAATTAATCACCTTAAGTCAGACTTTATAAATACAAGTTGCTCCATAGCCCTAACCAGTTTGGCTCAGTGAATAGAGCGCTGGCCTGTGGACTGAAGGGTCCCGGGTTCGATTCTGGTCAAGGGCATGTACCTTGGTTGCGAGCACATCCCAAGTGGGGGGTGTGCAGGAGGCAGCTGATTGATGTTTCTCTCTCATCAATGTCTCTAACTCTCTATCCCTCTCCCTTCCTCTCTGTAAAAAAATAAATAAAATATATATTAAGCCCTAACCAGTTTGGCTCAGTGGATAGAGCATCGGGCTGCGGACTCAAGGGTCCCAGGTTCAATTCCGGTCAAGGGCATGTTCATTGGTTGCGGGCACATACCCAGTAGGGAGTGTGCAGGAGGCAGCTGATCGATGTTTCTAACTCTCTATCCCTCTCCCTTCCTCTCTGTAAAAAATCAATAAAATATATTTTTAAAAAAATGTTCCAACTTTATAGCCTAGAGATACTATTCTTTGGGATTGGAGACTGTGATAGTATTCATTTTAGTAAAATAATTTCAATATTTTGTTAGTCGCAATACTATAAAATAAATCAACTGTAGCTATTTATAATTCTAGATGACTCTCATGTAAAATTTGGTCATAATGTGAGACACATGATTGATCCTCAGACAAAATATTGCCCATAGTAATGTGAGTTGGCTTCTAGAATGCAGCACACTATTTTAATATATTTTATCAACTGAAAACATTCATAAAATTCCCACAAGTTGGTAATAATTTCTGTAATAAAATATTTTTCACATTTAAAAACAAAATTGCACCCTAGCCAGTTTGGCTCAGTGGATAACGTCGGCCTGCAGACCGAAGGGTCCTGGGTTCGATTCCAGTCAAGGGTACAATTGCAGGCTCCTCCCCGACCCAGGCCCTGGTCAGGGCTCGTGCAGGAGGCAACCAATCAATATATTTCTCTCACATCAATATTTCTGTCTGTTTTTCCCCTCTCCCTACCACTCTCTCTAAAAAAAAAAAAGGAAAGAAAAGAAAAATGTCCTCGGGTGAGGATTGAAAAAAAACACAAAAATAATAAATAATTGCATGTGAACTTTCTTCAGAATTATTATGCTGTATATAACATTCAACAGTTAGCTTTATAGGCATTCTTTTTCCAAAACTCTCACAATTATTATGAACTACAGGACATGATTTCATTAATGGCAGAGCCATTCCAATCTTTAATCTTTTAACTGGGTCTTTCAATATTTACAACACAAGCGAATAAGTTGTGTTAGAAGATTCTATTAATATATTTGCATTTTTAAGTATTTGTATCACTGAGTATTCTCAATACTTATAGCATGTTTAATCAGAAATAAAAATAAAATGTGTTTCAAAATAAAAAAAAAAGCTCAGACTTCTAATATTTAAAAATTAAAGTTAGTATACTATAGGATTACTGAATCTCAAATCCTTAGGAAACAAAATATTTCATGATTTTTCTAAAATTAAATCTTTATTGTTGAAGAGATTACATGTCCCCTTTTTCCCCTCATTGACCCCTTCTAGCCCGCCCCCATCCCCCTTCACCATACACTATTTATACTAAAAAAACAAGCTTATAAGATACTGGAAGACCCTCTTCAAAGGGCTTCTATATAAATTAGGAGTGAAAGTGTTCACTTAAGCCATTAAGTATCAACCTTGGTTTTATAACATTTACCTCAGAGTTTTTCAAGTCATTAAGTACTTACATTTATATTACAGACATTGCTATTCTCTTAGTTTTAGAGAAGAAGGTATAGTCCCCATTGCAGGAATTCTCTTTACAATTGTCTAACAAACTCACCCAACCTCTTCATGACCACCTCAGGGACAGACTACCCTGTAAAGCATGTGCATAGTTGGATGGCCATAATTATAACATCTCCCTTCCTAACTTCTACCTATTTATCTTAGTTCTGCCCTCACCAGGTTTATGCCTGGTAGCAAGAAAAATTATATTTATTGATGCCAATTATAGAAAATGGAAATCTAACATAGTAAAAAAGTGGGAAACCATTTCTGCTTAACATTCCTATCAAGTACTATGAAACACGATATTATAGGTACACAGACTTATGTACACACACAAACATATATACATAGATACATCAAATTAGTTATGTTTTGAGTCTCCTTTGTCCACATATTTTGATCATAAAAGGAAATATATACATTCTCTCAGACTTTACAAGTGCTATTCATGTACAGGCATGTACTCATGCAAAATGATCACCCAATATTTTTATTAGAGGAAGAGGGAGAACATTCCCAGTGACTTACATACAGAAAGCACTCACTAAAACTCTGTTGAATAAATATTGCTTGGGAAAATCTAATATGTGAAACCATATTAAAATTAGCAAAGAAAAAAACCACATAGGTCTTAATTTAACAATGTAGGAACAGTCCTATAGTGACCTGCATAAAGTAGCCACTCATTAAAAAATTTATGTGCCCTGGCCGGTCTAGCTCAGTGGTTGGAGTGTAGGCCCACAGACCGAGGGATCTCAGGTTCAATCCCTGGTCAAGAGCACATATTTGGGTTGCAGTTTCGATCCCCAGCCCCTGGTCAGGATACATGCAGGAGGCAAACAATCAGTGTGTCTCTCTCACATTGATGTTTCTCTCTCTCTCTCTCTCTCTCCTCTTCTTCCCTCCCTCCCACTTTCTCTAAAATAAAATAAAATAATAATGGAAAAAATATCCTCAGGTGAGGATTAACAAAAAAAGTTGATGAAATTAATGATGTTTGAAAAATCTAACTAGGTAGAACCAAGTTTAAAAACAACTGGATTGTGATTTAGCTGCTAAGCAATATACTTAGTTTTATAGCAAAAAAAACCACATTTTTTTTATCTTGTCAGTCAGTCAACCTATACTCCAAGATATATAAACCTATACTCGAAGATATATAACAGTAAAATGAGATCTACAATGTGTCAATTTGGATCTGAAAATATTAATTTAAATGATATATATTCACCTTTTTCCAGAGCACAATATTAAAACAGTAAGATCAGCACTAGGGTTCCAGGAGTATTGCCACATTTATGTAATTATCATCACATTGGCACTAAAATGACTTAGTCAAGCAAATCTTGCTCCATGCAGTCAGTCAATAATAAAAGGCTAAAGTTAACATCTGACTTGCTACCATCCATAACTGATTGTGATAAATTAGATTTTAGAAAGTGATCAATTAGATGTCACTATGGAGTCCACAGTGGACCAGATTTCAAATTCCAAATGTGCTGGCGCTGACTATGCAAACTTACCAGTGTTGTTGTAGGAGCAGAAACAGCTGCTTTCAGATTACTTAGTTCCTGCTGGATTAGTTTCTCTTCCTCCTGAAAAAGTGAGCATATTTAAATGCATGAACAACTGTCTTTTTAAACTATACAGTATTTTTAAAACTTTTTATTTTTTTTTAATATGTTTTTATTGATTTTAGACAAAGGGAGAGAGAGAAAAACATCGATCAGCTGCCTCCTGGGATTGAGCCTGAAACCCGGGCATGTGCCCTGACTGGGAATCGAACTGGCAACCTCTTGGTGCATGGGTCAATGCTCAACCACTGAGCAACATTGGCTGGGCTGTAACAGTATTTTTAAAGGGAAAATATAATTTATAATATTTTCAATAAAAATAAACATTATTTTCAAGGAGAGTTATAAAAATTATGTGCTTAAGATTTGCTTAAAGGCATTTATCCAATCCTCAGACTCTCATTCTTGGAAAGAATATATATTTCCAGTCTAACCCATCTTCCTCTTTCTTCACTCAGTTACTAACCCCTTAAAGACAGTTTAGTGGAAAAAAAAAATTTTTTTTAATAAACAGTGGAGAAAAAGAAAAGAAATTCTTCATGTACTGGCCAACAAAAAGGTTCTCACACCTTTCCCTTAAAATTAAAAAGCCTTCATGGAATAGAGGCAGAAACAAAATCAGTCGGTTTCCCTTACACTATATTCTTCTTCTCTATCTTTTCCTCCTTATTTCTCACAACCTTTCCCTATAAATACACCAATGTGGCCACTTCCACTCTCTGCATTGTATTTTATCTTCTTAAAGGCACTTGAAAACTGGCCCCATTTTTGGCTAATATAATGCTATCTTTAAATTACACATTGAATTAGCAGGTGTGCATTTGGTGGCTAACCAAGAACTACTGGTAAAGCACTACCACATATAGATACCTTACATATAGTTTCAAACCTCAATTTGGGACCAATTTTTTTTTTTTTCATTCAGCATCTTATAAAAATTAGCAAAGGACCAAATGTTAAGACAATATTAAGTCCACAAATAATGAATTCTGAATGTGAAGCAGACCCTCCCCAGTACAGCAGCATCTTATCTCAGTTTTAAAAGAACTTTTGCAACACCCAGAGCACTCTGCAGAAAAGCCTTCCCTCGCTGCCTTTCCCGCTCTCCTGGCACTTACATCATTGTATGCTCTTATACTTGTCCAAGCCCAAGATGAACGACCCATTCCCTGGGAAGAGAAAGTGTGTTTTTCTGTTTCCTCCGTGTCTCCCACATAACCTCTTCCATAAATACATCTGAACAAATTATGACACAGTAACATGATTTTGTAAAGATACAAGCTCCTTGAAGCTTTGAATGAGTATCTTGCACAACCTGTGCAACTACCCAAAGTTGTGGGAACGTAATCACTTGCAAAATAACTGCTCATCTTCAAAGCCCATTTGAGGCAGTGACTCAAGCAGCAAATTGTACATGTTGGAAGAATTATGCTTTTTTCTTTGCCCTACCCATTGGTATAACTCAGTGGTCAGCAAACCGCAGCTCGCGAGCCACATGCGGCTCTTTGGCCCCTTGAGTGTGGCTCTTCCACAAAACACCACTTGCGGGCACGCACATACACTGCGATTGAAACTTCGTGGCCCATGCGCAGAAGTCGGTTTTCGGCCTGGGCGAGTCTATTTTGAAGAAGTGGCATTAGAAGTGGGGGGTGTCAGTCGGTCCGGAGACGGGAGACACGGCGCAGGTGGGCGGTGGGATACGAAGCACGGGGGAGGCACACACGATTCATGCACGAGTTGAGTGAGCCAGTCAGTCAGCAGTCTCATTGTGCAGTGGTTAGTGCTAGTCGCATCCGAAAATTGTGCGCGGGTGACAAAAGTACCTACTCGAAGCATAAAGTTACCTGTATTTTTCCAACCAGCTGCAAATCCTAAATTTTTGTCATCAATTTAAGAATTTTAATTCTTTTGTGTTGGTGGCTTTATTATTATAAAATGAAACATTTGCCCTGACTGGTTTGGCTCTGTGGATAGAGCGTCGGCCTGTGGACTGAAGGGTCCCGGGTTCGATTCCGGTCAAGGGCATGTACCTTGGTTGCGGGCACATCCCCAGTAGGAGGTGTGCAGGAGGCAGCTGATCGATGTTTCTCTCTCATCGATGTTTCTAACTCTCTATCTCTCTCCCTTCCTCTCTGTAAAAAATCAATAAAATATATTTTTTTAAAAAATTTGGCTATCAAAAGAAATTTCAATTGTTGTACTGTTGATATTTGGCTCTGTGGACTAATGAGTTTGCCGACCACTGACTGGTCTAACTAAACACCTCAAGCTCCCCCAAGATACCCGACAGCGGGTTCAGATGGCAGGGTCTGCTCCCGGGGGGTGGCATCCGGCGGAGGGAAGAGCTGGGGGAGAGAAGGAACCGAGGAGGGAGAAACTTCGCGGGCGGTGGGTGCTGACACCTGTTCCCGCTGGCATTCTCACGCCGTGATGTCTCGCCCAGTCCTCCCAACAACCTATGGAACATGCATGGTCTCTTCCCACTCAGCGCCCAGGAAACACCTGCAGGCTCAGGAACAGCGATCTGCCCGCCGATCCCGAGTGGGCGTCAGGGCCCATGGACACCGGCCTCCCAGCTGTCAGTCCCGGCGGGAGTGCCGCGTCCACACGGACGCAGAGATGCGCCGACACACGCT